TCGAAAACGTATTCTTGGATACGGTTTGGTTAACCTTTCATTGTGACCAGGAGTCTGACAGATCTTGCTTGAGGGGTCTTTGCGTTCGTGTCTAACTAGTGCCGTGACCTGTCCACAGCCTGCAAGCAACATCACTGGCAGGGGCTTTGTACCTTTTATCCCCTACAAGAACGACCATCAGCCGGGTTCTTCTGTTGATTGAGGCGTGCGTTACCCTATGGATCTCGTCACCATGGATAGCTGCCAATATTTCTACGATATATTATAAAAGCATCTCCAATAGATGGTCCAAATATAAAAACACCTAACTTTTGGACCGCCTGGGGATAAAAACGGTGCTCCAACAGACGATCCATATGAAAAAAAATTAGACCGCGGCCTCTTCGTGATGTAAAATCCAATACCTCGCGGTGCAAATTTGCATCATGAGGTGCATCTGGTCGAAACCCAGCCGCCGCCCGCGAACGCCCAACCGCCACTTCCTTTCCGTTCTCCCCGCACCCGTCCGCCCGCCCGAAGACCAGCCGGCCGGAATTCGCCCCCGCGGCCGCCGAAAACCACGCCGCCGGCGCCGCCACCACCCCAAATCCCCGCCGCCACCCTCCGCCGCCATCGCCTCCCTCGCCGCCGGTAGCCGGCTCGCAGCCGCCCGGACGCTGCCGAATCGGGAGGCAACCGGCGCGGTATTCGGCGCCTCCGGCGGTCCGGCTGCCGCGGTAGGCCTCCACCGGGTCTAAGGCTGCCGCCGACCTCGTCCCTGCCGGCCGTGAGCCTGTTCACGACCGTTGCGCCGGCCGCACGACCGCTGCACGAAGCCCTCCGCCCGGCTGCCGAAGTACTATTCGCCGCCCGCCGAGCTCCTCTTGGCCGGCCTCGAAGCTCTTTTCTTATCACCGCCGCCGTCCGGAGGAGCCGTCCGCAGCAGCCAATCCAACCGGCGGCCATCTTCTTCCACCGCGCGCACTAGGTGTTCGACGGAATTCCCCAAGGTAAAAAAATGATGAAACTTGATGATTTAACTTGGGATTGGGTAGTATGTTTGACGGTGGTTGTGTGCAATGTAGATGAGCTTTGACTCCCCTTTCGTGGATGATTCATCGTCGGACGAGAAATTTGATTTGCATGAAGAAGAGGAGATTGGTATGCTAGTGGCCATGCACAAGAGGAAGAAACCGAAGCACAGTGGTTCCGTTTATGGTCGTACGTTCATTAGGAGAGAACGGATTGATGCGCACAAACGGTTGGTGCGCAACTACTTTGCATCATCACCTATTTTTTCGGAGAATTACTTTCGACGTCGTTTCAGAATGTCGAAAGACTTGTTCTTCCGCATTTGCAATTCCGTGAAGCAGCATAATCCAGTCTTCGAGCAGAGAAGGAACTGTGCCGGGTTGCTTGGCCATAGCATTGAGCGGAAGGTCACTGCCGCTTTGCGCATGATGGCATATGGTGTTCCGGCAGATTACATTGATGACAACTTGGCGATGGCAGAGAGCACTTCTATCTTCTATGTCAAGCAATTCGCAATAGCTATGGTAGAAGTGTTCGGTCCACAATACTTGCAAGCACCCAATGCTCAGGAAACTCAGAGACTTTTGGAGATGAACAAAGCTCGAGGGTTTCCAGGTATGCTCGGGTCTGTGGATTGCATGCATTGGAAATGGAAGAACTGTCCAAAAGCATGGCATGGACAATTCAAGGGTCGTGGGGAGGATGCCACTATCATTCTTGAGGCAATTGCTGATCATGAAACATGGATTTTGGCATGCATATTTTGGTATGCCCGGTTCTTGCAACGACATCAACATGCTCGACCGGTCACCTCTCTTTGCCAACTTAGCAAATGGAGAAGCACCACAGGTGACCTTCGAAGCAAATGGTCGCACCTACAACTATGGGTACTATCTTGCAGATGGGATCTACCCGAGGTGGAGTACATTCGTCAAGCCGGTTGCAAAACCTGAAGGTAAAAAAGTACTTGTTTTTCATAATGCACAAGCGGCGGCTAGAAAAGATGTTGAGAGGGCATTTGGGATTTTACAATCCCAATTTGCTATTGTGCGAGGACCATCTAGATTTTGGGATCAAAATATCCTTTGGTACATCATGACCGCTTGCGTGATCATGCATAACATGATCATTGAGAACGAGCGTGGAAAATATTTAGATTACAACTTCTATCATTTGATGGGCATTCCTATTAACCCCATGCGAAAAAGAACACCGCATCAGACGTTCCATGAAGGTGTACAGCGAGATTAGAGACACCGATGTGCATGACCAACTCCAGAAAGATTTGATGGAAGAGCATTGAAAATGGCATGGCGAAAGATCCGCATAGATTCATTATTTGTTTGTTCAAAACTATGTTGTATTATGCAAAACTATGTTGTATTTGTGTTGCATTTCATCTCCTGGATCTGAAGAACAATGTAATAATTTGATATTGTGGACATGAATTTTTTTTATGTTGTTTCAAAACATGTTTTTATGCAATATGTACGGCTGTACAGTGGCTGGACAGCGACTGTTGGCTAGTTTTGGACCATGAATTTGGACCATCTATTGGAGTTGGTCTTTTGGACCATGAGAATTTGGACCATCTGTTGGAGTTGGTCTTCTTTCGGAGCTCCAAAACGCACTGTTTTACTTTTCCCCCTGTTTTTTCCACTGTTTTTAATAGTTTTCCTTTTTATATATTTTTCTCTTCATTTTCTTTTATTTTCCCACTTTTTATTTCATGAACGTTTATTCAAATTCGTGAGTGTTTTTAAAATCCACAAGCATAAGTACAAAATCATGAATATTTTAAAGTTACCAACATTTGTATAGTCTATGATTTTTTAATTTGTGAACTTTCGTTAAAATTCATGAACATCGTTTAAATCCATTTATCTTTTTTCATTCCTGAACCTTTTTTCATGGCTTTTCAATTCACAACATTTTTAAAAATCCATGAACAAGTTTTTACTTAACAAAATAGAAAATGCATTACCTATTTTTCTTTCTGAGTTAGCAGTAGAGAGAGCTAAAAAAAGGCCAAGTGAGCAAGCGGAGTAGCAGCTGAGTTGAGGTGAGCCAGCAAGAGCTTTAATAGACGATCCATGTGATTGTTATACTGGCAACCCCACGGTTTCAGCATGAATAAAATCTCCCAAGCCGAAAGTCCTCTTCTACTATTGAGCTCAAATGAGCACGGGGTGAATAGTAAAATAGAAAATAGCGTGTAAAATTTTGAAAAATCTAAAAAAATTGAGGCAAACTTTGATAAATGCTTTGTGTGCTTGCTAAATTTCATCACGACATAACATTCATGGAAGTCATGACAAAAAATAACTCCATTAGTAGTATGGTAATAAACTTACACACTCACCATGCAACTTAAATCAGACTTTGATATTTTAGAATTTTAACTGGGTCAAGGCCAAGATTTAGGGGGCTCGAGGCCCGTAAATTCAAACAATATGATAATCAAAGCATGTGAGTTGACCCAATTAATTTGCACAAAGATTGTCGTTTAATCTACCTTATCACATTTCCACCGCAGAAACATGAATTTTAGATAACAAAATAAAACTGTAAAAGCATATAATTTTGTTCAAACTCGGTAAATTATTATACATTTGATATTCTTGACTAATTCTCTAGAGATATAAGATTGTCAAAACAATATGCACACGATGGCATATAGTAGTGTACGATTAAAGGTAATTCGGTTTCAATCTTTCAACATTAAACTGGATTCTAAGAGGCTAATGCACTAGTAGAAAACAGGGCATCAGTCCCGGTTCCAGAGGGCCTTTAGTCCCGGTTCTGCAACCGGGACTAAACAATCAGGACTAAACAATGCTACCAGAATAATACAAGTCAGTAAAACCAGACTACTGACTGGACTCTAATTAATCAGACAATAAGACCAATGCAGATTAATCAACACAGAAATGCTTCCACACGACATATCTTAAAAGTCAGTCTTACATACAATAAATGATAGTTGGACACTTCTATTATCCAGGAGAAAGTGGAGTGCAACATGTACTGCCAATATGAGCGGCAGTAGAGGGCACACAGTAATACCCATTCTGAAGGTTGTGTTATTGTTTCACGTGGCCTTATTCTGAAGGCAAGCAGAACAGATTGAAGTAATGCTGACCTAGCCAATCCAAAGGCTTGCACTGACACAGCCCTGCATAACTTACCTTCACTAAGAAGGCTGAAGCAAAAAAAAAAAAAAGAACATAGCCAAAGGAAGGAAAGGATGTCTGAAAACCTGTGGAGATACTTTGTTAAGAAACAATGCGTCCAGATGTGATTTTTGTAATGCATAAACTGGCATGCATGCAGGAACATCTGTGACCAGTAATGTGACCGATCTCATGTCACACGCCGCGCAACTGATATATGGCTCCAGTTTACAGATAATTAAGGAAGAAAAATTGTATTGCATGATGAAAACAAGTAAGCAAGTCTGTCATGCACCTGAAGAAGATTCACTTGCTTCTTCAAGTAAAACTAAATTGTCTCTGTCTAATCAGACTGCATAAACTGAAAAAGAAAAATGCTACTGCATAAACAGTTCCTTCAAGCAAATGTGTCATGCCAGCAGGTAGAAGTCTCATGCTATGCTACCATAATAATACAAGTCAGCAACCACAAGAATACTCCCTCCGTTCCTAAATAGATGACTCAACTTTGTATTAAAATAGTACAAAGTTGAGTCATCTATTTAGGAACGGAGGGAGTAGTAATTAATCAGAGAACAGACCATAGCAGATCAATCAACACAGAAATGCTTTCAAACAGCATATTAGAAGTCACAGTCAATACACAACCAAACAAACAGGTGCCTGGTGCATCAGTCATAGTTGGACAGGTTATATATATAGCTAATCCGATGCAGATGCATAGCATAAGGCATAGTTGGACACCTTACATATATAAGCAAACACGATGCAGAAATACTACTATAGGTACTTCAACAAGCTAATACCAAGCAGTTCTTAAAAGATTCGTTCTGTGTCAGGCTCTCCATTCAGCCCCACTTGTGTGAACGCAATCTCTGGTTCGTCCCTTTGAAAATCCCTGTCAACAACCGCAAGCATCTCCATGTCCGAAGCAAGACGGGACCAAGCAACACAGATCTCCACCTCGGCACCGAGGAGGCAACACCGACCACGATCTATGTTGCATTCTTGGGCTTCGAAGCAGACCTGAGCTTTTGCAGGGAGAACGCCGGGTGGTGCATAGGCCTGTATTTCAACTTCCAGCTGTCCGCTTGGTTCTACAGAAACAACTTGCCTTGACAGATAAAGGTATCCATCTGAATCCGCAGGTCTTCTTCCATCTTTTGAATCAAGCAGCAAGATTTCCCCAGACGAAGGCTGAGCAACATACTTGAATTCACCATCACTGTCCTCCATAAGTTCCCGTGATGCTGGGGAGCAAGCAACCCGAACACCATGTCCAAAAGGCCACGCCCCATTGTCTTTGACGACGCGTACGCCAAAGATGGTGGCCTGGACCGAACCTAGAAATCGCTCCAAGCGTAACTCCATCGTGCAGAAGCAGTTCTGAAAGCAGATGGTGGATACACCAATACGGCATTGGATTTGGCGGTATGTATCTGTGATCAACGGCCTGTCCCGAGACTTGACACTGCCTTTCACCATAAGCTGGACCTCATAATTAACATAGTCCTCAAAGAAAACAGCACGAGACGGGCCGATCAGGCGCAGATAAGGATCCTGCATGCAAAAGCATCACCATATCAGCCACAGCATTAATTAATAATCAACAAGGGAGGACGCAGGCAGACAGGCAAGAAGATCCCCAAAAAAAAATGGAGAGCAAATTAATATACCAGCAACCGTACATTTTGAGTAAGTTTTTGGGAGTTGCTCCTATCGCAAAAGAAGAGAAGGTTGCGGTTGTAATCCACGCCATCACGGGCAGCGACCACACCATACACGGACAATGGAAATTTGAAGCCGCCTTTCACCTCTGTAAGCTTGACAGAGAAGATCTGCACGGCAGGTTCTATGCCAGCGCCGCATGGGATGCGCCCAGGTGCCAAGTGTGTAAACTGCATGGAACTCACTGTCGCTGCACCCAAGTAAATCGGCTGTCAGAAATCTAACATGAACAGATACGTGCTAGATAAGCAGCAGAGTAAATCCCCTATTCCCTTGTTAAGGAAGGAAGGACAACCGTCGAAGGTAAACTAATTAAATTAACCAAGAATGAGAAAACAAAGCCGCATGGTTAATTACTACTCACTCTTGTTAAGGAAGTGGCCGCTGCGTCGGCTAAACGCAGTCTCCCAGCCACGACGGAAGGACTCAAACTTGAGCTCCTCGGTAGACATCACCCTCTTCTCCTTGGCTAATTGTGCCTCTGATTTGCCTCTGTCTACCTCATCGTCATCAACACAATCAGTGTCAGCTCGATCATGGCCATCACCGTTTATGGACACTTTTGCCGTTGTGTTGGTGGGAATGGGATCAGGTTTCTCTGATACATCGGTATCTTGGGCATCTGCCTCCATCACTGCCTCAGCATCAATCTCCGAAATTGGTGTGGAGCCGGTGATCCTCTGGACCCCCTCCTCCTCCATGGCTGGCTTGCCACACTCCATCTCATCCTCTTCCTCGTCGTCACCAGAACCATCAGCGCCATCATCATCATCTGAAACTGGATCTGCTCCTAATGTCGAACTCAGATCACTGAGACCATTCATATGCTTCCCCGAGGGGTCCGACAGATCAGAGATCGCGGGGGAGGTGTGGGCAGTTCCGGCGGCTATCCCCATCCGCTTGCGCAAGACCTTGATACGATTGTCGAGAAAACCAAGCCCCTTCTGCGTGCCCAGATTACGGTAGGAGTTGGAAGAATCGAACCTCTCCTTCTCGGGCGTGCCCTTCTCCTTCTTCTGCTTCTTCTTCTTCTTCTTCAGCGTATTGCGGAGGTCCGTGAAGAACTCGAGCTCATCAGCAAGGTCAGCTCGATTCCTCTTGAGACGAGGCTGATTCCGCTGCACGACCCCCTCTTCCATCTGCATCTCCAACTCATGAGGCGTCCGCACCTCCTCTTTTGCCGGGCTGCCACCCGCCATCGCTCGCCCTTTTGCGGTTCCCTCGCCGCCCGCCGCACCCAGCCGCCGCCGCCGCCGCCGCCGCCTATCTTAGGGTTTCACGAAAGAGGGATTTTGTTTTTCTTGAGCGATTCTAGGGAAACTTTGGGCTCATCAGTTCGGGCGAGGGGTGGTTATACTTTTAGTTTCTCTCTCAGCCGACCCGGCCCGGCCCGGCCCGGACAAATAGATCGAGAAGCACCGCCCCCGCCGTCCACACAAGCTTGTTATTAGTACTCTATAGGCCCGTAAGGGTTTCTTTTTTCTCTCTTTTTTTTAAAAAAATATGCAGCCTTGAATAAACGGAAATGATAAATCCCGATCGATGGCAAGTTCAGCCAACTAAACCTGTCATCCTCGCGTCACTTGCCATCGAAAACGTTCGATCTTCCATGGTCAAATTCCGAACGTTCGGGATTTATCCAGGTCCTAAATAAATGGTGCGCCTAGGCATCAACCGACTGATTTCAGCCGTCCGATTTGTTCCTCCCAGCCATTGGATAGGTCAACGCACGCATGTTGTTCTTCTTCGAATCGCGCCAATCAGCCTCCTGCTTTGATCTCGTCCAGTAGTAGCAAGGCAACAACATGCAGTCGTTGCAAGCATCACGATAACTGTCGGCAAGCGCTACATTGCAGCACCAGGACGCCGCCAGTGAGCGCTCCATCACAGTCCCGAGCATTCCATTGCTGCTCCGAGAGCCGCTGTTGAGTATTGCATCACAGCACCGGGAACTGCCGACGGGCGCTCCATTGCAGCATTGGGATTCGTCGGTAAGCACTCCATTGCAACACCGACCGCTACATTGCAGCTCTGAGAACCGTCATCGAGGGCTCTATTTTGGCAGCTAGCATTGCATAACAGCATCGAGAGCCATCGACGAATGTTGCATCGCAATGCTAGCAGTCGTCATCACCGATGCGCTAGCGCGACCCCGTTGCAGCCTCGGTGGTTGCCTTGTAGCATATGCATCGTCGGTGGCGTTGTGGCGACACCCCGTTGCAGCACCTCCAGCGCCCGTCGTTGCCCGTGCAGCACTAAGGGTCTACAACGAGCCCCGTTCTAGCACCCCCCCCCACTAAAACAACAACAGTGAGCGGTTGTCATCCTTTCACTTTTGCATCCGTGGCTGGAAAGAATGGTGGTTCCTCCTGACGGTGCACACAAACAGGAGCAAAAGCCTGCAGCTGCCGTGGTCATCGACTTACTGACGTTGGCCCCGATCTAAAGGAAGGGGGAGGGTGTGTGAAGGGAGAGAGGATTTGTAGGAAGGGAGAAAATATGAGGTGGGGAAGACGAAGGACGGGGAGGAAATTATGTGTGGTTGTGAGCCCTCTGATACGTCTCCAACGTATCTATAATTTTTGCTTGTTCCATGCTGTTATATTATCATTGTTGGATATTTTACAATCATTTTATAGCAATTTTATATCATTTTTTGGGACTAACCTATTGACATAGTGCCAAGTGCTAGTTGCTGTTTTCTGCTTGTTATTTATATCGCGGGGAATCAATACCAAACGGAGTCCAAACGCAGCAAAACTTTTTGTGGATTTTTTCTGTACCAGAAGACATCAGATGGGCCAAAAAGTTCCTGAGGGGTGCTCCGAGGGGAGCACAACCCACCAGGGCACACCTGGGGGCCCAGGCGCGCCCCAGGTGGGTTGTGCCCACCTCGGTGGCCTCCCGCACCACCTATTTGCTTTATAAATACCCCAATATTCCAGAAACCCTAGGGGAGTCGATGAAAATCAATTCCAGCCACCGCAAGTTCCAGAACCACCAAATCCAATCTAGACACCATCACGGAGGGGTTCATAATCCTCATTGGTGCCTCTCCGATGATGCGTGAGTAGTTCATTATAGACCTACGGGGTCCATAATAGATGTCTTCCTCTCCCTCTCTTTATGATTCTCAATACAATGTGAAGGAAATATGCCCTAGAGGCAATAATAAAGTTGTTATTTATATTTCCTTATATCATGATAAATGTTTATTATTCATGCTAGAATTGTATTAACCGAAAACTTAGTACGTGTGAATACATAGACAAACAGAGTGTCCCTAGCATGCCTCTACTTGACTAGCTCGTTAATCAAAGATGGTTAAGTTTCCTGACTATAGACATGTGTTGTCATTTGGTGAACGGCATCACATCATTAGAGAATGATGTGATGGACAAGACCCATCCGTTAGCTTAGCATTATGATCGTCTAGTTTTATTGCTATTGCTTTCTTCATGACTTATACATATTCCTCTGACTATGAGATTATGCAACTCCTGAATACCGGAGGAACACCTTGTGTGCTATCAAACGTCACAACGTAACTGGGTGATTATAAAGATGCTCTACAGGTGTCTCCGAAGGTGCTTGTTGAGTTGGCATAGATCGAGATTAGGATTTGTCACTCCGTGTATCGGAGAGGTATCTCTGGGCCCTCTCCGTAATACACATCACTATAAGCCTTGCAAGCAATGTGACTAATGAGTTAGTTAGGGGATGATGCATTACAGAATGAGTAAAGAGACTTGCCGGTAATGAGATTGAACTAGGTATGAGGATACCGACGATCGAATCTTGGGCAAGTAACATACCAATGACAAAGGGAATAACGTATATTGTTATGCGGTTTGACCGATAAAGATCTTCGTAAAATATGTAGGAGCCAATATGAGCATCCAAGTTTCTCTATTTGGTTATTGATCGGAGATGTGTCTCGGTCATGTCTACATAGTTCTCGAACCCGTAGGGTCCGCAAGTTTAACATTTGATGACGATCTGTATTATGAGTTATGTGTTTTGGTGACCGAAGTTTGTTCGGAGTCCTGGATGAGATCACAGACATTACGAGGAGTCTCAAAATGGTCGAAAGGTTTCGAGACATGTCAGGACCCCGATTCTATGCCACATCGATCTAGCATGTAACACCTCATATCACTTTGCGGCCTCACGCACGGTATTCCCACGGGTGTCGCCTTACCATGCCCGGGACCGTTTGCGTCTTTTGGCACACGTATATGATAGTGTCGCTAGCATCCATATGACAAGGAACCCGGGCTGACATGGCTAGTCGTGAACCCGAAGTAGCACTAACTTACAGGGACAGGCATACATGACCCAGCATCGAACGTGTCGGTCATCAGCGAGTGAATCCGGGCTGTAGCAACTGGGCTAGCAGGACTCTGGTAAACCGGGCTGTAGCAGGCTAACAGGACTCCGGTAGACACCGCGTGACATTTCCCCGAAGGGACAGACACAGGAACGAAGAAGGACACATGTCAGCCAGCCTAAGTGTTCCGGAGCAGTAGCAAGCTACCAGGGCTCAGTGGAAGCACTAGGAGACATTTCCCGGTAAGAGAGGCTACTAAGGATAAACAACTAGATAGTCAGATCCCACACATAGAAATACACATTACACGTACGCATAACATGCAAGTATGTGCTATACAACATGGCATCACAACATAACTCAACAACTCATGTAGATAAGGCTCAAAGAGCCATCATAGCATTATTACAAACAGGGGTCACATGACCCAACAGTCAGAGCAAACAAGCAACAGGCGGAAGCATTACATGTCTGAGTACAGACATCTACAAATGAAAAAGGCTGAAGAGCCTGACTATCTACAACATCCGGTCAAGATCGTAGCTGAGGTACAAGCTACTTGTCGAAGTCCACAAAGACACTAGTAAGACCGAAGTCTCCGCTGCAAAAACATAAATAAAGCAACATGAGTACAAAGGTACTTAGCAAGACTTACATCAGATCCTATCATACATGCATTTGTATCAAGAGGGTAATGTGGGGTTTAGTTGCAGCAAGCCAGCTTTGACTCTGTGGCTATCCTGTTCTACGACTACCAGAACTTCTTTGAGCTGATATGGCGCACACGAGTCCACTAATCACCACACAATACACTATTATGGATTCATCCCCGTCTCCCTACGAGAAAGCCATCCATAGCACTCACACTTGTCTTGAGCATTTTAGAGTATCCACTTCAAATTGTCTATGTACCATGTAAGCATCCAAGAAGTCCATAACCGCGGACCCGGCTATTCGAATAGATCATGTTAACCCTGCAGGGGTGTACTTCTTCACACACGCTCCCGCCACTTACCGCCATGTACACGTCATGTATCTCGGCAACCTTCAAGCGGAAGCCTGGCGAGGGTGTCGGCCACGACCTGACTAACCACACGAGACTCTAGTCCAGGTTTATCGCCTATTCGGGTTCCATTCGCAAGGAGATCCGGCTGGGGTGTCGCTCACGGCCCCAAACGATGTGAGCAGGGTTTCCAAGCCCACCATCCGGGTGCCACTTGGTACACCGTGCCACCTGTGCCTAGTCTGTCCCAAGCCCACCCTGTCGGGTGCCACTTGGTAGAAAAATAGCACTACCTACAAACACCAGAAACTAGTTCTGACTCCTGGACAAAGACCAAGTCGGTTAATAAGTCGAGAGAGTCAATTAAGGATCCTAATGTGTGGTAGTATCGAGTCATTGGACAACATACATAGAACTTAGTGCTTATGGATGGTTTCGGTGAGACAACCCACCATGTACTCCTACATGGCCTCTCACCGCTACCTTTACCAAATCGTGTTCACACACTTAACTCTCAGCATCAGAACATAGAGCACTGCACTCCAACTCATTCCCAATGAATCAGACCTGACACACTCTAAGCAATAGCAGGCACGGCATGGTAGGAACACAACAATGGCTTCAATCAACTCCTACACATGCTAGTGGGTTTCAACTATTTACTGTGGCAATGACAGGTCATGCAGAGGAATGGGTTCAACTACCGCAGCACAAAGTAGCAGATGAATCGTTGTTGTCCTAATGCAATAACTGAGAGCAGGAGCGAGAGAGTAGGATTGTATCGGAATGAACAAGGGGGTTTGCTTGCCTGGTAGATCAACAAGAGGGCACTGCTTCACAGATAGGTACTCTCGAGCACTCTCCGG